ATATGACAAACAAAGTTGTATAGTGCCCCATCTTTATAGAGAATTGATTACGTTATATTAAAACGATTTTGAAAATGCAAGTTACTTGACAACCACAATATTTATAAAGTTGCATTTGAATGGTATTTATCACAACAACATTTTGATATTGTTTAGCTTTATGTAGGTAGTATGCTGCTACCGAAAATTGAATGATTTTGCGAAGGGTATGTAACAGCCCTTTCTGACGCAAAATATTCATAAACTAAAGTCATCTAAATGTGTTCAGGTTGGAGACTTAGAGTTTCCAAGACTGGGATATCCCTTGTACTTAGATCATCTAGGAAGAGACATGCAAAAAATCATATCCCAGTCGTGGTGAGCGGAATGCGGCGTTTTGTAATTGGTGAGAATATACAAACACAAAGGTCAACGCAACAAAGAAAGATCTAGGTTTGGAAAAGCGACACAAGTCATGTATACATAAGTTGTTTCCATAACATATCTTTGAACATTTTCACACCTCAAGTAACTGGAGAATAAAATGGGTATTTATGCTTTGCCATACGAAGGCATAATGGTCAATAATCAGATGCAGCGTCTATGGATTTCTGTATGATCAGACTGTTGAAACGGGCGGAAGGAAATCGTCGTCCTCTTTCATCAGGTGGCTTATGGAAAGCATACAAAAAGGATGGGCATGCTTTAGATTTGACAGCTTTATGACAGAGTCTTTTGCAGTGGAAACTACGATGTATGGTTATTGTCAAAGAGCATGGTTGTGAAATAAAGCCTAACCGGACGCAGATACACGGACTTGTAACGTCGTGGTGAGGCTCCAAAATCGTTTAAACATAAACGTACTCAGTCCCTTGTACTTCTTTGATTAATAGCCTTAAACATTACATGTGTGTTTATTCCAAATGTTGATAGAGGCTGCGTCAGGTGGGTTGTTACCTAGTGCAAACGAGCTGCTTGTTTTTAGGATGTACGTGTCAGCTAATGTAAATCAAACTACTGTATCATTCGCTCTGATGAGGCGAGTGGGCCACGCGAAAGACCTTGGGATGTAAAGCTTGTGGCATATCATCTATAAATGAGTTATGTTATTAATCACAAAGCTCATTAAGTGCTGCACGTGGAGCTATTTCTTTTGGAGCAAGACTGCTCGTGACTGCATATATATTATGCGCAGGCTGACTCAAGTCACGTGCCTCGCAACCATCGAACGTATGATATACCCAAGCACGGCAATGTTTGTGCGTGTCGCCTAGGCCCTAGAGGGAAAAAGAGATAGATACAAGTCGGACTCTTAAAAGCTGAAAGTAAATATGTATTTCATTTCTTTTTTCTTTTTTTTTATATATTTAATTTCAAATTTACGTAAGGAATTTTTCCGGTTTACGCTTCTAATGTAATTCAGCAGATCACTCTCATCGAAGTATAGCTAACAGCATTTGGATAGGAAATTGGGAAGAGTGTAGGAATTAAGTAAATAGACTTACAGACTCGAGCCTGACCACTCGGACGTCGTGTGATTAGATTTGCTTGCTCTGATACCGAGCCCATGAATAGAACACTGCAGAACTAGGACAAAATACCGAGAAAAGGCGATCCGTATTTTGTCGGTAATCCTTTCCTTTCTGCAGTTTGTTTATTAGATAGATGTAGAAGTAGAGGGAACTTAGAAAAACAGGTTTTAATCTAGTGGATGCACTAATGTTTGGATTAAGGAAAGAGACTGAGAAGTAGGTATAGAGAAAGAAAACGAGTTACTTACGCAGATAAAAAAAAACAACAACAAGAGATGATAAAGATACATGGAATAATAAAACGAATATAAGAGGTGCATAGAGTAGAAACATAGAAAAGAAGATCGTGACAAGTATGTAGATAAAGAAGTGAGCGATCTATATAGATTGAGACACAAGAAAACAAGCGAATTCGGGTGATCTGAACTTACAATATGCTCTTGTTCCGTTAATCTGAATATCATCGTTGTCGTATGTTTCTCACAAATGAAACGGTTGCTTATTTTTTAGAAACGTAATTCATAAATACGTGGAAATATGTAGTAAACGGATGCAAATATGCGTTTATATAGTCAAGTACTTACGACTGTAGTAGTGTCTTTATTACCTTGTATAGTTTTAACAATATGAGAACTATGTGCAAATTACGTAAATGTTGACGTGTGTATTTTTTTTGCTTTAATAGACCTGTATAATCTTTTTATGCTAAAAGGAAATTAGTCGAAATTTAATAAATCACCGATTTATCTAGATATAATTCTTTAGTTTTTAATCTATTCCTTCGGTTATGTTTAATACTTTCTTTTTGAACGGTTTCTTGGACTATATATATATATTCTAACAGAGCCACTTTGATGTTAAAATATATCTTCGTGGAGAAGCTGGGTGTAGCCCAGTGGCTTGCGTGCTTGGTTGGGATCGGGAAGGGTATTCCGCTAAACACGTTTTGCCTTTGAGTTGTGGAGAAGTTATAACTGTAACAATAAAGAGTAGTCGCGTAAACGGCAGATGTCGCTTCCTGATTGTCTCTGGTCACCAGTTCTATATTAGAAATGACTATACCTGAATCTTATGTATCTCTTATATGACCGTTCATGTGATGATGGTGTACTGGCGGTTTATGATGAATAAATTATGTTCCATATACAGGGACGTTACTGTTCGTTAACGTCGTGTATGTGCAGTCCATTAATTATTCGTACAAGGTAAAGAGAGTTGTCCGTCGTAGTCAGTTCGTGTTTTCCTTATTTCTTGTATGCTATCATTTAATTTCATATTGCACATAAAAATGTTAACTGCGAAAGACAGATAAGTAAACAGTTCATTTGATTAGTGAATGAACGAATAAAGACAGTTGCACGAAAACAAGAGGGAAAGATAGACTGATAGATAAAGTATTAAAGCACATACAATTGTTGTGTATTTAAAATACAAAAACTTGTGTGAACAAGTTAAGCCGATGAGTGTTTTAACATGAAGTATTAAAGCACATACAATTGTTGTGTATTTAAAATACAAAAACTTGTGTGAACAAGTTAAGCCGATGAGTGTATTAACATGAAGTATTAAAGCACATACAATTGTTGTGTATTTAAAATACAAAAACTTGTGTGAACAAGTTAAGCCGATGAGTGTTTTAACATGAAGTATTAAAGCACATACAATTGTTGTGTATTTAAAATACAAAAACTTGTGTGAACAAGTTAAGCCGATGAGTGTTTTAACATGAAGTATTAAAGTACATACAATTGTTGTGTATTTAAAATACAAAAACTTGTGTGAACAAGTTAAGCCGATGAGTGTTTTAACATGAAGTATTAAAGTACATACAATTGTTGTGTATTTAAAATACAAAAACTTGTGTGAACTAGTTAAGCCGATGAGTGTTTTAAC